TGTTAGAAGAAATATTCTGTTTATTGTTTATATTTTGTTACATCCTGATTAAACAGCCTCTATGAAAATGACTATTGATTTTTGTTGAAATTATTTAGATTGGATCCACCATTTTCGGTCGTATCACGTGACTCCTTGATGCTGTTCATATGTGGATTTTAATTACGTTTGCAGATTAAAAAAAAAAAACCCAAAAAACGGACACTTCACCTCAGGCTCAATGAGTTGGGACAGGATGAGGCACAGCAGAGCAGCAGCATTTCGACAAAGTAAGATTCAAGTATGAGAATATAAACTCTCACGCCATAGACAAAAGATGACCAACAACACTCTGGCACGACATCTGCAGAGGTTGAGGGGGGGTTATTTTACCCTCCATCAGCCGCGCTTCCACAAAGTGGTACAGTTCAGTTCGGTTGAGTGACAGTATGGTTCGGAGCGATGAATCCTTATCCGCTTTGTGTTTCCGCTGCAGTCTGTAGGTGGAACGGCGAGATTACAGTATGTCGATATGAATTGTTGTATAAGAGCGGTGCGACAAAGACGGAAGAATATGATGCAAAAATGCATCATTGGTAGAAGAAACAACGGCTTTCCGTCTTGGTCCTTGGTCCTTGCCGTTCCAGTCCTCCTGCTGCACCGAAATGACGCGCCTTCGATTGATTAACGGACAGGGTGTCAAGCTGGAAAAGTGGTACGGTATGGACTGTCTATTTAAGGTACTCTTTCCCAACTCTTGACAACCGAAAATCAAAAACATTCCAGCGATGTCCCAAAGTGAAGTGAACTGTACTATGTGGAAGCAACGACGGCGCTTCACTGGCTCTGCTTATTTCTTAATTTTTTTCTGTGCTGCTTTTTTCTTCACCAGCTGCAAGCGCTTCATGGCGTTGAGCTGGGACTCTTGGGATGTCGGCGCTTTTTCCCCCGGTGGAACCTTGGACCCATTCCCATTGTTTCCATTACTTCCTCCGTTAGTATTTCCGCCTGTGCCACTACCTCCTGGACTGGCCTGGGAGCTGCCTGGGGAGCTCGCTCCCGATGACAAGGCGGAACCCTTCCCCTGGCTCTCGCTACTCGATGAACGGTTAAGTGGCTGCTTGCCCAGGGTCAAGGGCGGTGGTTTCAGAGTGACCTGGTTTGAGCCATTTCCATTGCCGCTCCCGGGTACCTTGGCGGCTCCGAGTCCGGACTTGGTTCCGGCTAGACCGGAAAGACCGACCGGTTTCTGGCCGGGTGGAGTATTCAGTGCCTTGTTGCTCCCGCTTGGCCCCGAGGAACCCAATTTGGAGGTGACGGGAAGCGATGGGCTTGTTTTCGCGCCAAACGCAGCCCAGCCTGTTAGACCGCTGCCTGACGAGGAGGAGTTGTTACTGGTGGGAGTGGCTGACGTTGCGGAAGTCTGCAAAAAACGATGGTACATCAGTCGTCATCCATCCATCCATCAGTTTATTTTGGATACTGCATACCGTATTTTCCGCACTAAAAGGCGCACCTAAAAGCCTTCCATTTTCTTAAAAGCTCACAGCGCGCCTTAAAATCTGATGCGCCTTGTGTATGGTCATTACGGGAATACTTCGACCCCAAAATGGCTCCTTGCCCGAGACATGCTGACAACGCAGAGTTCAAACTTAAGGCGATCGGTTACGCAGTTGAACACGGAAACAGAGCAGCGGCAAGAGAGTTCAACGTTAACGAGTCAATGTTAGAACTTGCTGTTGGTTAAGTGAACTGTGTCGCTGCTTTATTAAAAAAGTTTTACTGACATCTGGTCATTCTGTTGGCGTTTGCTTGAGCGTAGCTCCATCTAGTGGATGCATTGTAGATTGCATCTTATAATTTGGTGCGCCCAATGTTTGGAAAAAAAATGACAAAACAGGCCATTCATTGAAGGTGCGCCTCATAATCCAGTGCACCTTTTAGTGTGGAAAATACGGTATATATTTTTCAGAGTGACAACAGGGGGCTTGCGCCAACACCAGTCGGGCACCCCGAATGTGTTGGCAGTCATTATACGATTGTGAAAGGACACCGGAATCGATCCCAGGGCAATTGCACAACAGCTGATCAGCTATGTGAACCACTAGACTGCCAACAGCAACCGTTTTTGACACAGTCCAGAAAGATTTCAACTATCAGCAAACAGCTTTTGGGACATACCTTCACTTCAGTCCGTTTGAAGGCCTGAAAGGTGCTCGCGGTGTCCGGTTTGCTTTTGAGTTCTGTCTTTTTCACCAGAGTGTCTTTGATCACGACCGGTGCTGACGAGGCGGAGGCCGGCGAGGGCTTCTGCGGTGGTTTTTGGGCCTATTGCAAACAAACAATACGCGTGTCACAATTATGCCGAGAATGAAGCAACCGGGAATTGGCTCCCCCAGACAAGGGGAAGTGCAAATTTGTGGATGCGTCTCACCATACGCTTCATTTGTCTGGTGCAGCGAGCACAATACCACACCAGCCTGGGATCGTTGACTTCTTTGTCTGTCACTTGAGGCTTGTGACAGTCCTGATGATACAAGTTATGGCACTCCTGGCACTCGACCAGCTGGTTTCCCATGGACACTGTCATTTGTCTTTGGTGAAGTAAAAAAAACACCAACAACAATAAAACATTGCTCATTTGTGTGACGTCCACACCAAACACACAGTTGCCAAGTGGAATTTGAATAACGGTACCGTATTTACAATTACAATCTCGACTGCATGACTCTGCAAACCAATGCGAAGAATGCGGGCGTACCTGCAAACCACGCACGCCAGGCCCATCTCCATGGCAAAGTCGTCAGCGTTGGTTTCGTCGTAGTCGTTGATGTTTGGCAGGAGGTCTTTGCTCGTCTGTACGGTAACTGGTGACGAGCGATCCGCTTTCTCTAAGCGAGGCTTTTTCGGCAGGTCCACGTCACCAAAGTCAACCCTCACCTGTTGTCGCGCGGAGCCCGCGAGCAAGATATTCATGTTGGTGCTGATTTTGTGACAGCCTCGCATCAAATAATTTTAGTCGGCGATGTGGTTATTGTTCACATATTTACTTTCAAACTCAAATTGGTGTAAATTCAACCATCAAGCAAATCTTTGCAAGTGCCTGTCCTCATATGGCTTGCGGATGAGCTGGAAGCGATACCAGCTGACTTTGTAACTTTCGACGAGAGGGCGTGTCTCGCTCGACGATCTCTCTCTCTAGCCATCTACACTTAACACTGTCAAAAGTATACAGTACATTGACATTCTTCATACCTTGTCAGAAGATCTCCGATCGGCGTCCTTCTTGCTCTTTTCGGAGCTGGACTTGCTGCCTATGCTGGAGGAGGAGGAGCTGGAAGACGATTTGGAGTCCTGCTTGCTGAAGCTAAGTTTTGACACTGACCCCTTGGACACCTCCAGATCCTGACGATGCACAAGACAAAATACTTATTAGTCAAGCCATAAACTTCAGAATATCAAACAAGAACTAAATTCAGAAAGCACCAAAGGAATAACTGCACTTTTGAGGCCCCTTAGTGCAAGAGAAGGAACATCAAAAAGAACCATTCGCAGAAGAATATACAGTAGAATGTTGCGTAAAGGTGACTGATGACAACCAACATGTGCTAATGTTAGCGGCTAACCCGACCCATTGGCTAGCCACCGACAGGCCTTCTACTACAGTGGATTCTTGATTGATGAAAAAATTCCAACAGCAGTGATGTAACTTGTACAGATTTGTACATAAATTGCATCGCACTACAGTCAGGTACCCTCCCCGTGAGATTACTGAGGGTTGACTATACAGTGAATAAAGGTTCTATGAGGTCCGTCAGAAAAGTTTTTCCCTTCGAAGCATCGCCCATGGGGTCTAATAGACAATTCCAGCCTTCTCTGCCATGCCTTAATGCACTCCTGGAAGGACACTCCATCGTAGTTGTCATCTAGATGTAGCCCACATCATCAAAAGATTGTTTATCACCTTGAGTTTGGGAAAGAGGAAAATAAAACCACCAAAAAAACACAGAGCCAAGTGGGTAATTGGGGATTGTGCTCCAGTATGGCAGTGTTCCTCTCAGCCAGGAAGGGTTGGATGACCAGGACACTCAACGACAGCAGGCACGTTTTCATTATAAAGCAGGCACGACTTTTCTAGCCACAGCTTTTTGCGCACTGATTGACATGCTGAGTGATCGTGTGGCCCACGTTGAATGGGAAAACATGTAGCTTAGACATTAAATATATTTTACATGGGTCAAATGGATTCCCAATACCAACATACTTTTTGTACCAAGCGATAGGATGTGTCGCTGCCTCTGGAAAGGGACTCGTCGAGTAGCGCTTTGAGTTTCTCAGCTGAATCTTTGCTCTTGGAGTGCAGGTAACTCAGACCCTTCAGGAAGATGGGATCGAGCTCCAGACTGACAGGACCAGCCATGGCTTATACTGAGGACAAAGTATAGATTCCAGCAGTTATCTACATCGCTGAGCTCATGTACATTACTACATGTACTGTATTACAATACTAAGCCATTTTTGTCTTGTGGGTGGGATGTAACAGTTCACAAACTAGGACCAAGGTCTGTATAACGTTCGGAGCAAAGACAAGTAGGCTAAAATGTTCAATTGTACATTCAGCCTTGTTACCTGGTGTGCACTTCCAGGTAGAAACTCGTCGTCGACACCGGTTTGGCAGTAAAACGAAAGGAAAGATGACTGCTACCACCGAAATTTGGCCAGTGCCACAATAAAACATGTCCGACTGTTTACAAGGGAAGGGCAGAACCAACGATAAGACGAACAAAACGTGTCATTCTCTGCGTCATATTATCGGACGACTGTTGAGTAAATATATATCTTTTAAATATTTTCAAAAGCAATGAATAATCTGACTTTGTCTTGAGTGTAGTTATTTTATTTAATAATGATGATGATTATTATTTTGTTATAATGGCGTTACTTGGCGCTGTGGTACTAGTAGCGGTCAAGAAGAAGAAGAAGAAGAAGAAGAAGAAGAAGAAGAAGAAGAAGAAGAAGAAGTAGTAGTAGTAGTAGGCGCGGGTACCCGGATGTTTTTATTTACAACGTGGGTTCCTGGGAATTGGCTTATTGTACGCATAGGACGTGAATGAACATGTTTGTCAAAAGTTGATATTTTAGTCAACGGCCGCTGCTTTGCAATGAAGGACGTTAAACAGCGACATGCATCCCTTTTCCTGGAAGTTCGTTGCCAAGATGAGGCACCCCGTCTCCCCTTGCACTCCTCCATCGTCTTATTTCTCCTGTCCTACTCTGAGTGCAAGTCTTTCAAAGTCCACCTTGTCTCCGACAAGATTGACAGCTCTCTGACCCTTCAGGGTCAGCTGCCAGAATTCCTGGCCTTGCAGGACGTCCGGCCAGAGGAACTGCCGATGCTGGTGCGAGGCTGCCGGCTACCTGCCGTCCTGGATGAGACCGGAACGCTGTGCAGGGCTGGACTGGCTGTGGTCTTGAGGCACATAATCAACAAGAGCGTCGAGGCTGAACCGTCCAAGAACGATGTGCGGCAACTGCTGGGCTTCAAGAAGACTTGTCTCAAAGCCTGTGCTGAGGTTCGTAGATCAACTAAGACAGCCAAAGAGTACGAGTAAACAAACATATTTAATTGCTTGAATGCAATTAGCTAGGTCTCTCGAGTGCTTGACCATGACTGTCAGGCTCAGTGAAGAAGTGGTCCGGCCACAGCATTACATGAAAGCACTGTCGGGGCAAAGCCAAAAGCTAAGCAGAGCTGCAGTGGTATCAGTGTTTGCTTTTGACAACTGACACATTCAGATACACACATTTGTCGACCTGGGTGCATGGAGGGGGGACTGGGTATGTGTTTGGCAATGTGGCTGCTGCATGCGCCACATACATGGATCTCCCTGCTAACTGAAGTTGGTCTTGGCCACCCCAAGAGATGGATTACAAACGAGTTGATTTTGACTTGACTTCCCCTTTATGATATGTTTTTAAAAAGTAGCATTTTTTAGAGTGCTATTTTCCTCTTTTTGCATTTTTTTTTCAGAGGCTGGAACAAATGAATCAATCTTAACATTCATTCCACTCGGGAAAAAGGATTTGAGATATCAATGGTTTGAGTTATGAATGTATTTACGACATAAACTCATATCTCAAGGCACGACTGTATTTGTACACGTCTTTCAAAAAATTATGTATTATATACGTACCTACAAACAAAACTTTTGTGGCACAGCTTACCGATGACATCATATTTCTGTTTTCCGTCCATTTTCTCAGGTGAGCAAGTGGACCAGATTGTGTGAAATTGGCATCCCGTCTGCCGTCGAAGAGTACCTCCGAAATCCTAACAACCAGCAGCATCACCCGCCACTTCCCGCCATCCTCACCCTGGAGCAAAGGCTATCCGAGCCCGTCAAAGTGCACAACGATGACAAAATCCGCAGACAGAAGCTCAAGCAGCTGAGACTAAACGAAAACAACGACTCGACTAAAGCGAGCATGGATTCCGACGCGGGTGATGGACTCGAGCTCAAGGCCGCTCTGGCTAAACTCTCTGTAGCAGCAGCTCCGACTCCGACCACCAGGGAGCGCTACGAGATCAGAAAAGTCAAGACCAACGATCTGCCTTTGCTGGAGCACGTGTTCGCTGAGGGGTTGTACTTCACTCTGACTGATGTGGTCCTGTTGCCATGCATCCATCAGTACCTGGTGAGCTGCCGGCTAATCATTAAAGCCTGTCTGTGCCAATGCATAACGCAAAGCCCTCTTTGAACTTAATGCTGCTGAACCAAGACAAGACACAGAAAATTAAAAAGTCCATTTTCCATAATGTGTCCCCTTTTGAAAATAGCCTCCATGCATTGTGTGACCGCAGAACCGTGCAGCGCCTTTAAAATTCCGTGAATACAGACATTTCACATCTTGGTGCACAGCGCCGCGGCTTGCTCGATGCTTGCTTTGCTATTATTTTTAATTATCGTACTGTGATGGCAGGGGGGAAGAAGAGACACCCACTGCGCTCTCCAGTGTGGTCAAGAGTCATGCGACAAAGACTTAATTGGGGATTTTCTCCCTGCAGCAGTAGTTGTAAGACTTAATTAAACATCTATGGCTTAGTATTATCTTACCATCCATACCAGGATATATTTGTTTTTATTTGGAAAACCATCTTTCTCATAAAGCAGGAAAGTGAGCATGTCTGCCTCTTAGTTTTGAGCCTCCGGTTTTGTGTCTTGGCTCTTGACTGTCCTTTGTTGGTTTTTCATCGGTACTGCGACTTTAATTAGGCCATAGCCTTGTCTAATAGAAAAGGCTGTTTTGCGGAGTAGTGGTAGACTATGACATGTTCTGGCTCGTGTCCAAATTCTGGTTATGTTGCCGCTGTAAAAAAGTAACTATCTCTTAAAGTGAGGAGACTATTTAACTCCAAATGTTTTATTGTGCATGCCACCAGACAGCCTCAATACCTATTTCACCCTCCAGCCGTCACCAGCTATTCTTCCATGTTGGGAATGAACCCAAGTTCCCACGATGAGCCTCTTACAAGTCAGCTGTGCTCCAGTGGTTTCCAGTTTCACACTCAGCCTAGCGTGTCTCCTCGTGACAGTCGCCAACGCAAAGTAGATGCAGCGGATTCTTTTCACGCTTGCCCCGTCGTGTACTACCGAGCCTCTCTTCTCTCTCTGTCTGGTCTGTCTGGTCTCTCTCTCTCTCTCTCTCTCTCTCTCTCTCTCTCTCTCTCTCTCTCTCTCTCTCTCTCTCTCTCTCTCTCTCTCTCTCTCTCTCTCAAAACTCTTGTAATTGTCGTGACACGGCTTTCGTCTTTCTTTTTGGGTCTTTATCCCTGCTCGCTCTCTGGGCCTGTAGTGATGTGACCCCTGGTGAGGTTGTGCAAAGGTATGACCTGAGCTGTCTGATGAGTAACGTCTGATGAGTCACTTCTATTAATATCCACAATGCTCTCTTTGACAGTCTTTCGTCCGAACCCATTCTGCCAGCACTCTACACCGCCTCCCCCACCTGCTGCGCTGGTACAGCCATGTTCAGGAGGTGCCTGGGGTCCTTCGGGCCGCCAAAGCCTGCAAGATCACTCTTGCAGTCCCTGAAAATCCACTGCCACTTGCAGCTGGGCCACCGGTTGAAGGTAACCTGGCGAATCCACCGGAGCGAGAGGAGGAGACGACCACGCAGCTGCCTTTTGTTGGTGGGCCCCGGCCCACCATAACCAAACTTAAAGTAAAACACTTTTTTTTAATGAGTAGTGTACTGTGGAAATAGCATTCAAAACTCTATCTATCTATCTATCTATCTATCTATCTATCTATCTATCTATCTATCTATCTATCTATCTCTAGCTAGCTAGCTAGCTGGCTAGCTACCTATCTACTTAGCTATCCAGCTAGCTAGCTATCATGTCGATATATAGGTGTGTATACATAGGTGTGTGTATACACATACATATATACACATACATATATACATACATACACATATACATACACACATAAATTATTTTACTCTATTAAAGTGACTGCAGTGGAGGAAAAAAAAAGGTTTTCCAGTGGTGGCCCAGAGCTTTCCACCCACTTCTAAAGCTTCAAGAAGTGACTTTGTCGCCAAAGATACCTTCTAATAGTGTCTCCTCATTTCCACATCTTGCATTTATCATCTTTAATTTTCACTGACGCAGACGTTTTACACCGCCATATCTGCTGTTTCGTGCCTTCAAGGATGACTCTCTAATGTCGTGTTTTGGCTCCTGGCAGACCTTCTTTTAATTGTACAATGTTTTCTCCCTCTGGCAGCGCTCCACATGAGCTTTCAGTCATCAAATTAACATTTCAAAAGGGCGTTTTTTATGGATTGTTTTTACGAGAGTAAGATTATTATTATTCTTTTTATTGAGCCAGCTAATAAAAATTGCCTTTCATTATAGAATGATACAATTCACCCATGCACTTGTAATTCTGCGCACTGTGCAAATTGCCAGCCATCTTTTCACAGGCTGTGAAAGCAGTCCATTCCAGAAGAACACATAAAAGTTTGAGCTAATGTATGCTGAAACGGACAGAATCGAACATATGCCTGCTTTCCTCATCATGAAAAAGTGGCACCTTGAAAAACATGTGACCTCACTTACGAGTGCTCTATGGTGAGAAGTGACCCAACTCGCTTCACAACAAGTGGCAGTTTGGTTGATATAATTAGTAAATAGTCCCCCCCCCTGAAAAAAAAAAACAACCTTCAAGCTGTTTATTACCAATCTCAGATGACATTACTTGTCAAAGTAAACATAACACAAGGAGAATTTACACGTTTACTTAACACTTTTAGGGAGAGTGGGTAGTACAGTGGACAGCTTATCATGTTATCAGGTTACAGGGTGCATGATAGGGTTAAATCAGCCACATGGTTTCCGCTACCTTGATGCTAACATACAAAGGTAAACTCCATAAGCACCCGGGCTAACAATTAGCGTCTATCTTATGCAGCTGTGTTTTTACCCTTTAAGCATCGGATAGCTAAACACAAACGTCGCTGCAACGGCATATAACAATACCCACACTTTAACTTTATCCTCTGTGAACAATGACTCATATTACTGCCGCACTGAGGAGCAGAGAGAGGAGCTGACAGGGACAGTATATCCGTACGTCTGCTGTATATTGTATTTTTGTAGAGTGCCAAGGGAGAACTAAGCCCATCTGACTTGAAAAAATCAGGATATTCCCCTGTGACGTGGACCATAACAGGAAAAACTGTTGTTGTCATATCCACAATTAATTTACACATTCTTAGAAAGGAACCATCAAACGATCCATTGTTACTGTTTTCCATAGTTGTGTCATCTTGCTCACAGATAACAACAAACAGGACTCAGACTTTTTTTTTGGGGTGCTCGGGACAGGTAGTAAACAAAAAAAAAAGTCTTGCACATTTAGACTTGACTTTTTGCGGGGCCACTTCCTGCCGAGTATGTAACTTGATGATAAGTGGCATGACAAGGAGGACAGAGTTGGGTGCTTGAGGTTGTGTATCTTTTTACACGACGCCGGATTAGAGTTAATTGGACATTTGACACGAAAGCTTGAAATCGCACATTCCCGTTGCGAGGTATGCGCCCTTACAATGGCCGCCATTCTAAACCCTCGACGCGAGGGATTACGAGGATGGCTCCGTGCCACAACTGTCATCTCTGCAGCTGTTGTGCTGTCATAGCTGCGTGGGTGCGCGCGCGCGCGTGCCGATGTCTATGTGAATGAGAGAATCGATTGGTCGTTCAAAGATATTTTGTGTCACTTAAAACTGTCCAAATTCACAGAATTTCATCTTCTCAGCAGTAAATATTCGTTAATTTCGATAAAACCATCCAAGAAAGCAGACTGATTATCTTTGCGTGTAATCAGCATAGGATGTTTGCAAACATCTGCTTCTACTTTTGGGAAACCAACCCAGTAACTGAATCATAATCAGGAAAAAAAAAAAAGCTGAAAATAAGAGTCAGTTTAATCTATTACAAAAGTAATGGTTGCAGTCACAGTATGACCTCTTGGAGGATATTGCGTCATTTTTTTTGTTTTGTTTTGTTTAATCATTAAACAATACAGAAGAAACAAGTGTCAGTTAATAAACAAGAATCAGGAAAAACATTTTTGCAATTGTCATTTTTTAAGACAAAATACATTTTTATCCAATTAATCAATTACATAATTGATAGTGTCCTGTATGCGTGCACGTGTGTGTGTGTGTGTGTGTGTGTGTGTGTGTGTGTGTGTGTGTGTGTGCGTGTGTGTGTGTTTGTGAGAGAGAGAGATTGAGTGAATCATTGAGTAATGTGAAAGAATGCGTGAGAATGAAACAAAAAGCGGGGGAAAAAATAACCCATATCTATTCAATAAAATGAAAACGGAAATTGTTTTAGAAAAACGACATTTAAATGAAAGTAAAAGTATCTAATTATGGCAAAAAGAAAACATTTTTGGGTTTTATTTTTATTTCATTTGTTTTGGGGTATTGCTGTCCATCCGTACAGAAGAGGCAAGGTCAAACGGTAGTTTGGGAATTGTAGTTTACTTTATTTCAGGAACTTTGTGAACTTTTTGTTTTGATCTTGCACTTGACAAATACATCATACTGTATGAAAAAAAAACAAAACTCAAATACGTTATCCTGTATATTAAAAAAAAAAAAAAACTAAATAAAACTAAAATTAAGCACTTTCCCCAAAATAAAAACAAAAAGTAACAACCTTGCTCTAAAAACCAATTAAAACTAATTGGATACAAAGAGCAAAAGTCAATCTGAATGTGCGTGTGTTTGTTGTCATGTGAGTGTGAAGTGAATGAGTCCTCGCGTGTATGCGAGCATTCATCCCCGATGTGTGTGTCCTGCGGCATATGTACACGAGGGCGCGCAGACGACACGATACTTCCTGTCGCTAGCCGGGGATCCTCTGGTTTCTCGATAAATGCCTAATAACCTCTTGCTCACCTCACTTAACACACCCTGACGATAGGTGCCAAATGCAGTCGACAGGCAGCCATCCAAATGAAAACAAAACTGCCAGCCAACTCTCCAAATGTAGGAGTCGAGCTCTGTTTTGAATTACTCCCTCCGCGATTGAAGTTATTTTTAATTCAGTGACTTAATCGCGCCGATGTTTTCCAAATGTATCACATGATGTCAAGATACCATTCCCCCCGAGGAGTTTAGTTCAAGTACAGCAGTCCCTTGCGAAAGCTCGCTGCACTTTTTTGCGGCTTCGCTCTTCGTGGTTTTTTTTTTTTTTGGTCAACAGATACACATCGTTGGACTTTTCACTGTATTGTGGGGATTTTTATGGTGATTTATTTCTCCACGCGGACCGTTACTTCAGTAAATAAGCGTGAGCCAGGAGGAACGAGTGCCAAATAGAAAGAGGATGGGATTATCCCACGCTTAATTAAAAGAAGCTAAAGTGCGATGTGCCTTTCGCAAAGCACAACTGCCTTAAAGTTACTCAAGTGCACGTCAACGGTAAAGTAAATGTCAGAAACCCGACCACCAGTAGACGGTTCCGGGCGATACAAAACACACGAGACAGGCGCGACGTGTTTCTGTCGGTCGTCAGCAAAAACGGGCAACCGTCAATATTTGACCTGGTTAGCGACGATTACACTGGCATGACGAAAGCCGTCAGCGCTTCGTCTCTTCTACTTCTCAATTTCAACAATCTCCGTCACCTTTTCACTTTTTGTGGTAGATCTATCGTGACAAGCACGTTGATCGATCACAAGCTTTAACGCTTCTGTCCGGCCGTTCCCGTAATAAAACGTGGTTGACGTCAGTTTCCGTCGCTGGCGTTCCACGTTAGGATTTCACTTGCCGAGTTCTGACGTCAACGGCGCTCAAGAGTTAAAGTCATTATTGAAAAGTGACTTTCTCGCTTGACTTCTGTGTTGGGTTCAGTCGCCGCAGAGTAACTGAATGAGACAGCCAATCTTTGACCCGTGATTGGCTGCCAACCAGCGTGGTGTGTAGTTTGCCCAACGCTAGCCTTATTGGGCTGCAGCTCGCCTGCACCACAATCAAAAATGTCTCAGTTGGAATCTCGGCTCCTACTTGCATTGGCTTGCAAATGTCGAGCATGAACGGTGGTATGTTCTCCTTTACCAGTTGCCGACCACTCTGCGGTGCACCTTCGCTTCTCTCGTCAAAATTCTGATTGGATAGGCTCCATCTTACCTGCGGCCCTGAACAAGTGAAGTGGTCGAAAATGGATCAATGCTTGGGTGGCTCTTTTGTGAAAATAATGCAACCGCCAACCTTGAACGTTTTTCAATTCAGAATGGTGTTTTGCGGCTGAATTCGCCCTTACGTTTTACTGTATTTGTCACCTTCATTGAAATAGACGCCATGTTGCAATTCATCGAAAACAAATGCCCGTGCAGGGCCAGTAAGGTGAGCAAGATCTTTAATTCGAGATGGCCATTGGCATCTGGTTACATCACGTTAGAGAGTGTTGTGAGCTTCCACTTTCTTTCAGGGACCTTCAGATAGAATAACATAATAAACAAAACTGAATAGTGCTGTTCGGATTTTCCAATTCAACTCAAGTGAAATGGGTAGTTTAATACAAATACAAAAGGACCGAAGCTAACGAGACAAAATTGCTAGGCCTCCCCCCACCAAACATGCACAACAAGCACAGGTAGAACACAATAAAGTAAACATTTTATCATCCCATTTTTATGAAAGAAGGATATTTCCTCTTGGGGGTAGCTCAAGCTTCGAGAGTTTCAATTGGTTTCCTTGGTAACAGTTTATTTATTTATTTATTTTTTTATGTCGCCAAAGGAAAATGGCATTGAGGCGGCCTTCGCTCATCATCCTTGCCCGGAATGGACGCTCCCATGGGACAGCTTACCAGACGCCATGAACCCCACGGAAGGTACTCAAAAGTCGAAGCGCTTAACTCCCAACACCTGTGTCAAAAAATAAAAACACAATGGGATTATTTGTAGATCCATTAAAATCTATATTCAGTTGAATGAATTGCAAAGACAAGATATTTATTGGTCAAACTGAATTTTTTTTTTTTTTTTGGCTACTATTCACTCATTTTGAAGTTGATGCTTGCAACAGTTTCCACAAAAACATGTTTAACACTGTGTTACATCACCTTTCCTTTTCAACGACACTCTGTAAGCTTTTCGGAACTAAGGACACTAATTGTTGAAACTTTGTAGGTGGAATTCTTTCCCATTCTTGCTCGATGTACACCTTCAGTTCCTCAACAGTCCGGAGGCCGTAATTTAGACTTTATAATGCACCGCACATTTCAATTGGGAGACGGGTCTGGACTGCTGGCAGGCAAGTGTAAATGTTTGGCTTGATAAAAATTAGGTTCATTCCAATAGGGAACATGTTTTCAGGATACCAGTAACTTGAGTTAGGAGCTTGGTCACGGAACAAATTCAACTCCTAAGTCGAGGGACAACACCACACATCATGCTCAGTATGCAGTGACCATGTCATGCCACGTCTCCACCCACTGCGTGCTTCCTACAACTGAACAGAAAATACAACCTGGTGTATAAAATCAGGTTTTGCCATCAAAACCTGCAACACGCTGCTTCGCCGTGTTTTTTTTTTCTTCAGCCACTTCTTGCCTATTAATCCCTTTCAATAATAGCAGCCCTGTTAACATCTCCCTGTGCAGCCTTAGAGTTTTTAGCATCACGTAATTAAACTGGAGACAAAAGGGAGCCAATTTGCCCTGAACCCCGGTGCGCGGGTTTTCTGTTCCAGATGCTCCTATAGCTGTACCTAAGCGGCCACACACACGCGCAGCACAATTGCAGCATCATTTCCTCTATTTACACCTGAACAACCAATCTAGCACAAAAGCGGGTCCTTGAAGCAGTTTCATTCGTTTCTTTCTTTCATGAGGGCAGTCAAATGTATGAATATATTCTCGTCCGTGGTGCCAGATCACAAACAATAAGGTTGGAGGAGAAAGTGCTGACTTACCACTTTCATTTGAGTGTTTACATCGGCAATCGATGTGGTTTATAGCCCCCCCCCCCCCCCACCAAAAAAGCCTA